CGCATCTGTTGGAGTTAGCACATGCATGCTTTTTTGCAGTGATTGTGCGTTTTTGCACAGCACTGGAGCGCTGCAACAGGCAGCAAGAAAACATTGTGACGACTCTGTTGTGTGTGTGTGTGTGTGTGTGTGTGTGTGTATGTGTCTGCATGTATGCGTTTGTGTGTTTATGTGTATGTGTGTATGCGCTCGTCTATTCAGGTGTTTCTACTCCACACCCAGGCAAGCTCTGATGTTCAAATTTCGGCAGTGTATTACCAAGTTGATTCTGAGTCCAGGGACTTAATATCAATTTTCCGGGACATTTGCGTTTCTTGTACGAGCACGTGAAAATTTTGGCGAGAAAATTGTTAGGTCGGGGACGAGGAAAGCTAGAGATCTGGAATTTCAGTGGTACATTCCGTATTCACGTACGACCGAAAGATTTCGAATTCAGGTGCCAGTTGGTCTCACTTCTCGTGTGTGGACAGGTGGAAGTTTTGGCGGGAAAATTGCTAATCTGGAAACGGGGAAACCTGTAAAGCCGGAATTTCAAGGAAATCCTTGCTGATGTGCGACCAAAAAATTGCAAATTCACTTGCTTCATTTGCTTAGCATAAAATTTGACGCTAGCAGGGAAATTGGCGAGCTTGAATCCGACATTCGCAACTTCATCCTAGGCAGGAAACTTGGCATGACAATTTTCGCAGCTCGAGCCCAGACCCACGTGTTGCGGGGCCGAGCCGAGCTTTAGTAATTGTGGCCTTATTTCTTGGATGGGTGCCAAGTGCGAGAAGTTTCTCAATTGTTCCACTGTTCGCGGTTTCTCGGTGTGTGCGGCGTATTGGCGCGCTGGTGCTGTGGGGTTTGGTCAGTGTGCCAGCGTGTGCAGATGTGGCTGTTGGGCTGTGTCGATGGGGGGTGCTTAAAAAGTCTGACTGAGCGGTCGCTGAACTTCCAGGGTCGTTGTGTGATCGATAGTGGGCCCGCGAGCGATGGTAAAGGAGACGAAGTACTACGATGTGCTGGGGGTGCCGCCGACGGCAAGCGAGAGCGAGCTGAAGCGTGCCTACCGGAAGCTGGCGCTCAAGTACCATCCGGACAAGAATCCGAATGAGGGCGAACGATTCAAGGCAATCTCGCAGGCGTATGAGGTTGGTCACCTTCGCTCCCGCAGGCACGCAGCGCGCATTGCTGGCTTATGTGCTGAAAGCAAGCATTTCTAGATTCTGTCGGATCCCAAGAAGCGACAGTTGTACGATGAGGGCGGCGAGGAGGGCCTCAGTGGCGGTGGCGGCGGCAATTTCCACAACCCAATGGATATATTCGACATGTTTTTCAGCGGTAAAATCTATCTGT